ACTGAATTTACATTCGTTTTAAACGCGGAGCCAGGCGCGAGTCGACACAGGTTGCGCCAAGCCTCATCCATACTGCCAGATGCGCTCGTGAAGACTTGCGGTGCGGAGCCGGGTGCGAGTATAAACGAGCATTACGAGACAGGCTGCGTGAGTGCGGCAAGCGTGAACAGCTTGTCCGTGACGCGGGATTCGCGCCGCGTGGGGCAGAGAGGAGCGAGTATGAGAAGCATTCACAGACACAGGCTGTGTGTGCGCTCTTCTGAATTGGGAATAGCCAACATGCATTATAAACTTATTTCAAATTAATCTGTTGGGGAGATAAAATGTGTAAGATAACGTTCACGTACTAACAAAAACATCTAAGACGCGATTTCGATTCGATTAATCGCACAGCCCTAGTTAGTAAGTGATATTTATTTTAAATTGAAGCTGTAAAGCAGTTTAAATAATTTTTACAGTCATTTTACGGTTTATGGTGTTGCATTGTCATTGTGACAAAGTTTTAAAATCAGATGTAACTTTACACAGAAAAGTTAATTAGTTTATTTTATTTAACATTGTGTTGTTAACATGTATATAGTTTGCTTTTTGTGGCTATATTATTGAAATAGTGTGTATTTTAACATTTACAGATTGGCCATGTTCACTTACACTGTAAGTGCCTCACTGTAACCCAGATTTGTAGAGACAAGTGGAAATTAATTTTGTTGTGGTTATCAACAATATGCCAAAAATGGTGTCGATTCAGCTCAGCTTGAACCGCTAAAATCAGAATATTCCTTTAACACACTTGATGGGTTTGCACTGCTGATTTGGTCATGATATAGGGTGTTCAGGACACGTCTGCTGGGAATATGATACAGCGACAGAAACTTTTAACTGCTCTGATAAGGAGTTAACTCACACTATCTTGATAGCCTCTACTCTTTCAGCACTTAGACGGTAATCCCAACAGGAGCGACTTTCTCTTGGGATAATGGGGGAATTGGACTGCTTGTGTCCATTAGACACTTGGTTTTTGACTTTTATGAACCGTCTGGTCCATGAACCCAAGAAACAATACTGACTGAAGCACAGTTCACACAATGTCATCAGTGTTTAGCAGTGTTTGTTTTCATGATTGTTAAAACATGTTAAACAATTTACCTTTAGAGTAGATCAAAATATAGTATACTATGTATTGGTTTTAGGGATGTGAGAATGACATATTTTTATTATGGACTAGTTGATTGATGGGCCTTAGCCCTGTATAATCTGATCAGACCTGTTTTTTAGGGGGCTTTTGCATTAGACATGTTCTTGTTTTCACAGCATTTTTATATTATTTTTATATTATTATAGTATTTATTAATATTTTGTATTAGCATTTATATTTATTCTGTATTTGAATTTTAGTTTTATTTATTTGTATATCCGTTTTAGTTTTAATAATTTTAGTACTTCACTTATACTTAAGTGTATAGGGCAACATATCTAAGTTCAAATTTTTTTGTCTAATATTTATATTTTATTTCAACTTTATCTCAGTTAATGGAAATGTTTTTTAATAGTTTTAGTCTTAGTTAAAAATAACAACATCAGCTGGACAGAATTCAACAGAATTTAGAGGTCTCGATGCACTTTAAATATATTTTTAACTTGAGATGTAGACCTAAAGTGGTGCAAGGCACAAATAAACAAACAACGTGAGATGTGACAAACATGTCCGTTTGTATGCGTACATAGACCAATATTTAAAAAAAAGCAGACTAACATAAATCTGAATCTAACTTAACAAAGTTGCACAGTAATTATCTTGAAATTTATTGTTGTTATTGATTCATTTGTTACAAAAATATGGCTATAGCGACGGTGCTTTAAAGATTTAGAGACAATGTCTCTGATAACACACTGAAATCTTTATTAAAAAAGTTTTCTTTGCAGTCATGCCTGTTGCAATAAATATTTAACCTATGAACATAAATAAATAAAATGCAAAGAAGCCTCACTAACTGACTATTCGACCATCCTGACCCGTCCATAATCGGTTGCACATTATCGTTGTTTTTCAGGTTATGTGTTGTTGTGTGCAGCAGCATTTTACAACAGTAATATCTTCGTTGTGTGTGATATCAAAACAAGTTCACTAATATGACTGCAGGTCCAATGTCATGGATGAACAGAGAGAGAGAGACCTGAAACTATGCGAGCTTACACACACACACACACACACGCGCGCAACCACATAACACACACTGACACAGCTGGACCTGATTAGTGCCTGTGTGTGTTATGTGGAGTTCATGTTGGAGAGTGTGTGACCATATGGCATAAAGCGTCCAATTCTTACCTCACCCCCCACCTTTCGTCATGGGACTAGGCAGGAAAGACTCAACGACCAGCCAGAGTCGAACAGCAGATGTGTGTGTGTGTATGAGAGAGAGCGGTGGAATGTGTGAGTTGTAGTAAACCCCGTTTACAGCTCAAGCACACAAAGTCGACAGAACTAGAACACTTAAAATTGACATGAAATCAAAATGTCATAACTTTCCTGTGATATATAACTCACTTGACATCTATGATGCAACTCTTACTTTTCACAATCCAATCAAAAAGGGGAAGTCGTGGCCTAATGGTTAGAGAGTCGGATTCGTAACCCAAAGGTTGCGGGTTCGAGTCTCGTACCGGCAGGGATTTGAGGGGGG